TTTATTAGGGGCTCATACAACTGTTATCCCAATCCATACACACATCAATTGTGTAAGCTGCTTTACTTCTTACGAGCAAATAATACTGGAGTCAAACAATTTTAAGTTTACCTATTTTCTGAGTAAAGCTTTACCTCGACTTGCACTTAATTTGAAACCAGATGAATGGAATTAAAAAAATTCTTTCCCTTCAAAATATAATAAATTAACTTTAGTTTTGCTAATATAAAATAGGTAGTATAGGGATAGTGTAGAGCCATTAGTTGAACACAAAGTTTCTCAAATGTGATCTGTAGAAATAGAAAGGATTTTTGTCTCCTCCCTCTCGTGAAAACTATGTTGAGTAGGTCCAAAAACATGAGGATTGCAGGAGTCTACAATTGGGCTTAAGCACAGTGTACAGAAAGATGTGGGCACAAATCCTGGAATTCCACTTACAATCTGCGGGAACATGGAAAAGTTACCAAATTATTCTTTTTAAAATTTTTAAAATTTTTAAAATTTTTCATTTTTTTCTGTTTAGAAAATGAACATCATGATTTTGAGGATTCTAGGAAAGAAGTATGTCAAAATACATAATGCCTGGCTTCTGTGTATATTCCAAGTACTATGGATGATAAGAGTTTCTATTTTTATCTAAAAAATGTGTTAAGAAATTTTTAGGTTAAAACTAGTTTGGGTCCCAAACCCACTTACAAACACGGGGTCTTCCCGGAGTCAGATTCCGGGTGGCAGGTGTTTGGGAGGAACACAGGAAGTGAATCCCATCCTGTGGCCACACTACAATTTTGTGTAGGCTACTCAACTCCTTCTGCTGTTCTGCTTGGATTATTCATATTATATACCTCCTGTCTTTAAAAAGACCTGCCGGTATGTGATCATGAGGTGTCGAAGGATCAGGTATCAGGCATCAAATAACAAAAATCGTATCATTGTGAATGAGGGGGAGTGCGGAGTGCAGACCCAACGCCTATCTGTAGGCAATTGGACACCCCCTTACGGAAGGGTTGTGGGGAGGAGACGAGCCAGTCAGGGTGCAGTGTAGCAACATGCAACATACAACTTTCCTCTAGCTCTTTAATGCTCCCCGCCCCTCACCGCCACCGCACCCCCCTCTATCATGATCCCAATTCTACCTTACAAATCTGGCTGAACCAGAGGATGTACACTGGTACATATAGGAACTGGAAACACAGGGAATCCAAGACAGATGATCCCCCAGGACCAGTGGTGAGAGTGGCAATCCCGGGAAGGTAGAGGGAAGGTGGGGTAGAAAGGGGGAACCAATTACAAGGATCTACATATAACCCCCTCCCTGGGGGATGGACAACAGAACAGTTGGTGAGTGGAGACAGCGGACAGTGTAAGACATGGCAAAATAATAATAATTTATAAACTATCAAGGGTTCAT